CTTCTCCATAAATTTCCAAGAAAGTTAAAGTTTCCTGTCTCTCCATTGACCCCATCCCTTTTTTTTTTTTTTTTTGGGGCATTTCACTTTTATTGAGGTATAGGAGAAAGTGGGGCATTTCATTTTATTTGAGGTATAGGAGAAAGTGGGTCATTGAGAGGTAGACAAGAAATGAGGGAGCGATAGAAGGGGAGATGTCACGCATGCACACTGTGCCTGGCATAAGGTGTGCTACACTGTAACCATTCAGCTATCGGGGTGCTCTAGAAATTCCAAAATTTTCAGGATTCCACTGGTTCTCCATTTGCTTCACAACACAAAATTTTGTGTTAAAACTCTACACTGAGGCCCAAACTGGGCAAATATTTTAAGCTGAAAGGTTGAGGCAAGACATCCAATCCAGCATTTACCATCAAATCATTGTCTATTCAAAATCTGATGACATATTATATAGTCTCTTATACTGTGCTGCATAGATAAATCATCTGTTTACCTAATTTGATATAATATAAAATGATAATGATGAGTAAACATTTAACACCAGGTTTAAAGTAGTAACTTTGCTGTGTCTGCTACTTTGTTGTTTGCCAAACAAAAGAGTGCTTGGAGGAGATTATACCATTTTTCTGTTGCTGGCACTTTCAGTGTGGATGGAGTACTTTATGAAAACAACAACTTAAACAATAGTGTGGTTGCAAGTTTTTTTGTTTTTGTTTTTTTGAAAGAGGTGACTGACAGTAGAACATGCCCTTGTCAGTGTTAACAGACAGCTATTTTGAGAGCAGACAGCTCTGAGTCAAATCCTGCTCCCCTTTATTTCCAAAAGGCCTAAGTCCCGCCTCCCACGCACAAGCTCACCGGTTCCTGTATTCCTCCTTGTCCCAGGTCATTTCAGTCACAGTGGGAGGTCAGGGAGTAAACTACTGCTCCCCCACTAAATCCCATAAGGTCGTGCTTTATTTGGACACTGACAAATGAGCAGTGAGTGTCCTAAGGAGATTATCAGTCTACTGCATTTACCGGACAAGACGTGCTTAACAAATTGTTGCCAATAGCCAAAAGGGACTGAGTAGGTGAAGATGAGTATAGAAGATGAGGGCTTAAGTGGATGGGTGGATCCTGTAGACACAAACATGGTCATGCCAAGCTTTCCCCCTGAAGGCTGTGGCTCTAGGCCAATACTCTACTGACTAAAGACCCTACATTAAAACTACATGTGGATCATGATTTGTTCTGGTCCACATGTAACATGCAAGGCTGCATTTGCTTATGATCTGTCAGCTTTTGTCCTGAATCAAAACAGATACACAGGAAATCTTTAGGCATAAATCCAAGGCTTAGGTCTTTGAGGAAAATCAACGGTGGCCTGTTTGGGTGATTGAGGCAAAGGTTGAAAGTAAAAACAATCACATCTTAAATATTTCAAAATAAGGGGAAGTAATCTATGGTTCCATCATCAGGAAGTGGATGGAGAGATTCATTATTCTCGGGTGTACCCAAAGTGGGCTGAAGTTCACCTGTACACTAGGGTCTGTGTAGGAGAGGAGCTTACATTTATCATTAATCCTAACCACAAATGTTGTGCGTGCAAAAGATGTGTATTTGAGATAAGATGGATATGATTCTAATGAAGTCTACACTGCCTTTGTCACAAGTCTCCAAAGTTAACAGGCTTGAACGCTCTACAATAAGGAAGTGCTTTTGCAGAACAGGTGTAGATTTCAAAGAGTGAAGAGGTTTGCCTTGATGACCCAGCTAGTAAGTGGCACAAAGGCTACTACCTTGTCAGGCCTTTTGTCACTCACGAAGAAAAACAAGCACACACTGAAGTAGCAGATATTTGATATACGGTATTTCCAGTTCAGCTCCAATGAGTAGTTTATCTTGGTAATTGTTAGGTCACTGTTCCCTCCCTTCCCCCCATGTACACAGTAACAAAGACCAAGGTCATCTTCATTAGTAGCAAAGTAATTGATGTCAACTAAAGGTCTTCTTCCCACATTAAGGCTTGTTACTGTTTTAACGGTTACTTTTCCTGACTAAATAATGTAGAGTGTTGTGGGAAAATGCTTTTAATCAGGCATGTAACCTCACTTTCATGTGAATGAAATGGACATTTGAGTATGATAATATAATACAAAATAGCTCTTACTGGTATCTTATTTACAGGCAGTTGACAAGCAGAGGTCAAACAAATAGGCACATTTTAGATGGACCTAAAATAGAAGAATACTTCAGGGGTTTACAATATATTTCAACTGAAACTACCCATAATCAAAACAAGATAAACAGCTTGTGTTCAACTTGATGTCCATGCATACTGCCAGTTTACTTAGTGAGCTTTGAAACCTGTAGAGGAGCATGTAATCCTCATTTTAGGAACTGCACAATTAAGGTTTTAAATTGATATGCATGTGCTTACAAAGTGTATAGTTGTTTTGCCCAAAAGCACCTGAAAATGGCACGTACAACGCATTTCCTCAGTTTAAAGCTCTTGTTGTTAAAGAGAACAGAAAGGGGCTTTTGTCCAACTTGGACCAAGAAGTTAAGCAGATTAAACCTGAAGAAAATAAATGCTGTTTAGCCATTGGCTGAATGAAAAACTCCTATTTACCCCTTACTCCCTGCATATTTAGACTTAATGCTAAACATAATCAAATTAACAACTAACTTCAACAACTCATAGAGAGCATGAGAACTAAATTAACTAAATAACAGTCATATTAATCACTTTATTCTGTCATCTTAACATTCAAGTTGTCATTACATTTCTCTGTATGTTCTTATCTAAGGTAGCACTGGAGCTTTTACTTGCTACTTACTACATCTTGTTACTACTACTTGGATGAACAGAGGCCTCATTATGAAACAAGATCTTTTTTAGAGGTGAGGAGATAAATGTTTGAGTTAAACATATTCCTGTTTCAGCTACTGGTCTAAACAAGAGAAGTGAGAAAGAAGACTAAAATAAGCAATCTGATAACCGATTTCCCTGACCTTGTGTGTTTCTAGTAAAAGTTTAGACCGCTAACTTTCTAGAGTATCCTAATGCAGAGGTCTACCTTCTCAAAGTAAAAGTTTAGACCGCTAACTTTCTAAAGTATCCTAATGCTACATTTTGGATTTACAGCTTGACCAAAGATCTTAATCTGTAATAACTGATTGCATAACCTGTCTGTAGCCTCTGTCTCGCTCTGTGTGTGACTGTGTGTACTGAGACTATCAGTAGAGGCACAGCACATCAGCCTGTTGGCTTTGGTTCACTGGGATGAACAGGTGAATGAGCTATAGATTCAGATAGTATAAATCTAACAGACACTAATATATCTAGAAACAAAGCTGCATCTGGGCTGCCCCCAGTCTTAAAACAAAACACTGTGATTGTATAACAAGTAGAAAATTGCAGCCAGTTAAATACTGCAGCAGTTTTATGACCTCTCCTCAGAGTGCCTGTCTTCAGTTCACACATGTGCAAATCATTCCTGTGGGTACCGCTGATGTGGTAGTCATCTTCTTTTAACTTGTGGGTTTTATTTGCTCTAAATGCTGTGTCAAAAATTAAGATTTATGGACATTGCTGCATTTTTTGTAATGAAAATATTGGTGTCAATAAGATAGATATCAAATTGGTAACAAGTTTTAACCTTCACACCAGCCTACAACCTTTGAAAGTCTATTTTTGTCAAAGCTGAGGTGGGAGTGTCTTGTGAATAGGCTCTTCAGTCTTGAGGATGTGTTAGGATTATCAGTGTGAAACAGAACTTACTTTAGTATAATACTGGAAAATCCCACAGAGGATTTGAAACATAATCAGCATTGCTTGCTTACTACTTGTTTAGTGAACGTACTCTTACATCTGTGACGCAATACTTGTTCTGTGGTACCTTTATTAGTCTGCCACTTACTAAAGTGATGGTGTGACAGGTTGTCAGGTTTCAAGTAGAACCGATTCTGAGCCATCCAATTACCTCTTAAAACTCGCTGATGCAAATTTGTGGCTTGTAATAAACCCTGACACAAGAATGCTATCTCGCTGCTGCATCGTTCCATTCTAAACAATGCCTGAGGCTGGTGAGAAAGCAGCCCATCCATTCAAATGTATTTGTTTTCCTCATTATCTTATCGCCGGTTGGTGCTACTGTGTCACTGCGGAGATGGTGGTAAACAGCAATGGTGGGAGGGGTGGTAGAGAAGAGTGAATGGGGCCCAGTTATCAGGGAGCTACCCTGTGCCTGAGACTCATTAAATTTTCAGCAGCTATGCACCTGTCTGGGGTGCAAACCACACACTATTGGAGGTGCAGAGCCTGAGGTTAGTGCCTGGACAAACTCCTCATACTGCTAAGACCAACAAAGTCAAAGCAATTCAAACAGCAAGGCTGTTTAGCTTAATGACTAAGTCATAAAATAATTGTATTTCTATTTCTTTATGCAGTTAGTGATCAGTATCAATAGTGGAAATACACACCAGCACAGAGAACATCCAGCAGCTCAGTGGATTTCGTCATATTTTATTTATTACTCTTGTATAAGCAGACAAGTGTTGCTATCAATAATGCTAAATAACAAACTACTAGCAAACCAAATAAGGCCAGTGGTTTTGCCTACTTAACTTTGCCCAGAGAGAACTCTTCATGTACAAAATTCACCTTAATATTGCTAAAATAGAGACAACAAAGTAAGTTTTAAAAGGATTTGTTTTTTCCCACTCCCAGCCATGCTGCTGAGATACCTATTACTTCTCTGTATTTATAATTATTCAGTTATATTGTGTACATCACATTTAATGTTAAATGTTTAATGCTAAATTGTAAAATCTAGCAGGTAAATGTAAAGCTAATTATAACTAGCCTATATGTTTATATAGAATGTGAAGTTGTCACCATGCCGTGTTGAATTTTGGATAAATGCACCATTTAGGAGCATCACACTCATTATCAATCATAAACATAGACACTACATACATATATAAGTTAATTTTAACAAATAAATACCACAGTCAGTAAAGTAAGATCTAAGCAATTTAAGCAACTTTTAGCCAAACAAAACAAGAATGTATACAGGTAAATACAGCACCTCCTCCCAAAACAGCACCCCCAAAAATACATTCAACACAGCGTGGTGTACCTTGAAATTCTCTATAATTTGAATTACTGCTGGGTAGCTTGTCAATTTTACACTAAGGTTTAATAAATGATGTGATTATACAGTATTTAGTTTTATTAGGCTGAAATGGCAGTGTGGTGACCTTAACCCTGCCTCCCTGTTCAGCAAATATTACCTGCAGATGACCTGATTACTGTGTATAAAGAGTTTGTTATATTAGTTGGTTCTCTTTGTGTCTTTGCAACTCATCACTGCTGA